AATTGCCTCTGGCCTACACTCAAATTGCCTCCCCCCTCTCTGAGTTCACCATCTAATAGGCCGGGTAGTTCATTCACGGTTTGTCTTAACTGTGTCTCATCCAAGGCCTCCCAAATCTGACTATCGGTGAACTCAGCAAACGGGTCGAGATTACGACGTACCGGTCCCGTGAAAACTACCGGTTCCTGCGGTATAATCGAAATACGTCGACGTAATTCGTTAAGACCTATACTTTTCGTGTCGACCCCATCCACCTCTACCACACCTGTAGGTTCAGTCATACGAAACAGGGCTGATATGATGGACGATTTACCAGCACCGGTGCGTCCAACTATACCCACTTTTTCACCAGGTTTAATTGTGAATGACATGTTTTTGAGAACCTGTCGGCAGCTGTTATGTGCCTTAGCACAGCCCTATTTGTATTGACAGTACACCCCCACCTAGTGCGAGTAATGCAAATAGGTATGCGCGCCCGGAATGCCACCTGTGCTTTGATATATAAAAAGGTAAACAAATAGACAAACAAATAAATCTAACTATATAATAATTTTATATATTAAATAAATTTAACAAATTCTTAATTCATACCTGGATATAAAACGTTTTTAGATGTTAAAATTAAACCAGAACTCCCTGTGCCAGACAACGGTGGGCCAAATTGTTAATCTTATATCCAATGACGTTAACCGTATGGACGAGGTACATTATTTAGCATTATGGGTTTGAAAATTTTTATTTTATTTTATAATTCATAATAGTTTTCGATATTTTTGACGAATATTGTGACGACACCATTGGTTACGGTAGTGGCATCTTATATCATCTGGATGGAAATTGGTTGGGTATATTATGTTGGTTTAACCTTGTTTGTTTTGGTTACGTTCAGTCAGGCGTTGATGTGCAGAATGTTTGCAAATATCAGGTAAACTTGATAGATCATATTTAATAGCTTTTTAAAATGTAACGTTATTCATGACGCATAGATTCAAAACAGCTATATTAACGGATACCCGGCTCAAATATATAAACGAAATTATAGCCGGTATGCGTGTTATCAAGATGTATGCCTGGGAGAAATCGTTTGTTAACTTAGTTGACCTAGCTAGAAAGTAATTAAATAATTAATTATAAAGTTTTTATTAATTGTCCATATGATTTTAGAAAAGAAATATCGTGCATACGAATGACCTTGTTCCTAAAAGGATTAAATTTGTCAATTTTTTTTGTGGCCACTCGTTTAATACTATTCGTGTGTTTGGTCATATACGTAATGAGCGGGAACATTTTGACAGCCAGAGCCGTTTTTGTTACCATGACACTATTCAATACATTGCGCAGCTGTATAACGTATCATTTGCCCAAGTTTTTTGAGACAGGGTCCGAGTTGTATGTTTCTTGCAAAAGGATACAGGTGATTAATCAATATTTAAATAACTAATGGTCATTTTTAAAATACCCTGTTTATTGTTATTTTTAGAAATTTTTGCAATTACATGAAATAGATACCGATCGGATAAAATCGTTAGATATTGATCAATTAAAATTCAGATTCTGCAAACCGTGTAGTGCAATATCGGTAAATAATATTAGCACCAAATGGGATCAAGTATGTGTTGGACAGGCTACAATATTGTAATATAACACACATTGATTTACATGATTATCAAATATGTGCTAATTTCAGGACATGCTATACGACACTCTCGACAATATCTCTATCGAGTTAAGGCCTGGAGATCTTCTTGCGATTATAGGACCGGTAGGTTCGGGAAAGGTATAAAAAATACTGCATTTTCTAATTAAAGACTATTTTATAGTAGGCTTTACGAATTAATTGATCATGTATTTTAGAGTTCATTTCTAATGGCATTACTCCGGGAGCTACCTGTGTTTAAAGGGAACATACATATTACGGGCACCGTTAGCTATGCATCTCAAGAGTCGTGGATTTTTAACGATAATATTATAAATAACATATTGTTTGGCATGAATTACGACGAATGTCGATATAAGCGTATAATAGAGGTGTGCGCATTGGAAAAGGATTTACACGTACTACCATTTGGCGATAAAACATTAGTGGGAGAGAAAGGGGTGCAATTATCATGTGGTCAAAAGGCCAGGATTAATTTGGCTAGGTATGATTCGGAATTCAATGATAATTGTAGTATGTTGATTTAAATAAAAATAATAGGCTTTTGACACGTGTGTAGAGCTCTTTACAGGAACACGGATATCGTACTAATGGACGACCCGTTAAGCGCTGTGGACACCGGTGTAGCCGAATGTATATTTGATAAGTAGGCAATAGGAGCAAGTAACAATAAACACTTAATTGATGATAACCTTGTTTTCTAGATGTATCATGGAGTACTTATTTAGCAAAATTCGTATACTGGTCACCCATCAAATCCAATTCGTGCGTAAGGCCACGCAAATACTGGTGCTCGATAAGGGTCGGTGTATTGGGTTGGGCACGTATGACCAACTCCAGGCCCAGGGTTTAGATTTTATGCAAATACTACGGGAACGGGAGCACAAAAATTATCAACAGAATTGCGAACATGAACTCAATTATAAGTTGAATAACGATAGTAAAACTGAGCCATGTAATAATTTACACAGAAATGAGCACCTAAGTAATTCGTTAGCCCTGTCTACTATGCTCGAAACAGTAACCGTAAGTAACTGCTATTTTTCTAACGTTAGTTCAATAAGTATGTTCATGGTAAAATTGAGTTTACCATGTTTATCAGGTAATTTTTGGAGATATTTTTTATAAAAATTTACCAACATACTTATTGAATAATCAACTTTTTTAAATAAGTATAATTTTTAAAACTGAAAGCTATTTCCTAAGTAATTTTATACCATATACATTTACCATTAAGTTTGATTTATAATTAGACCAAGTTACTTACGAATAATAACAACAATATTGCTAAACTTAAATTAATGGCCGAACACCGAGAAGTCGGTTCAATTAAGGGTCAGGTGTACTGGGAGTATATTAAGGCCGGAGCTGGACCAATATTATTTACCATGACCATTTTGTCAACCTTATTATTTCAGATTATGTACAACGGCTCAGACTTATTCCTAGCTCATTGGTGAGTACATTGATAAATATTGTAGTCTCACTTACAGACAACAAATATTATGTATAGGACCGACCAAAACCAAGTAAATGATCAAGGTAGAAGCGATAGCGAGCAGAATCGGAGTATTATGATATACGCCGTACTTATTGGGACGTTATTTGTGGCGACTCTTCTCCGGTCGACCACCTTGTTTGCGATGTGTATGCGGGCGTCCATTAACCTACACAACAGTATTTTTATTTGGCTATTAAGGGCACCAATGGCCGTGTTTGATAATCATCCAGTTGGTTTGTATTATGCTATAAAATAATTTACATACAAAATAAACATTTACAAGTAAACCTGTTCATTTTGAAATGATAGATCATTTTAATTCTATTTTGAGATTAATGATATACTGTTAAACAAATGCACCCTGGTATTAAAACGAAATTTATAAAATACTATTAAATTATTCGCATAAATACTGCATATCTTTGCTAATGTAAATAATACTGAACCTAGGTCGAATATTAAATCGATTCTCAAAGGACACTGGTATTATCGATGAAATGATACCATTAACCGGATTTGAAGTGAGCAATGTAATATTAATTAGTTATATTCATTACGCTTACATGCTGAAATAATATCATGATTCGTAATTTAAATTTTTAGATTATTACAATGACAATTGGCATGATCATCGTATTAGCTATACTCAACGCATACTTAATTATACCAGCAATTATCTTGATTATAATCTGCATATGTGTACGGGCAGTATACATAAAAACCGCCAGGGACATTAAACGCTACGAGTGCATAAGTTGTATTAGTTGTCGGTATAAATGAACCATGTTGTATTGATTGATTGCCTTATAATAATTAGCCCGGAGCCCAATATACTCGCACGTGAGCACTACCCTAAATGGCATTGCAAGTATACGCGCGTATGGTGCTCAACAGGCTGTTGAAAAACAATTGCACGTGTACCTTGATGATCACAGCGCCACCTGGTTCCTATTTTTGTGCGCATCGCGATCACTGGGAATGGTATTGGACGGGCTGTGTATCGTGTATTTGGTGATCATTTCGGTGATGTTAATGGCATTCCCTGATAACGTATCTGCTGGTGATGCTGGGCTAGCATTCTCATCCGGTACGTTTAAATAACAAATGAATATTGTAGATTGTTCATGACAATGTTTCAATGCTAATAGTACTGGGGCTCGTATATATGACACAATGGGGTGTCCGTCAAACTACGGAACTCGAGTCCCAAATGACTTCCGTCGAGCGTATCGTTGAGTACTCGAGACTACCACAGGAGGCGCCACTAATCTCACCACAAAACGACCCCTACCTTAAACCACCCCCACCTGATTGGCCACCGAATGGCCAAATAATGTTTAAAAATGTCAACCTATTCTACCAGACCTCAAACACACC